TTTTTTTCTGGCAACAGAAAAACAAATAAACGAGAAAAGAAAAAAGCTTGCTCGTCTCGGATAAAGTACGTACAAATCAAAACGTTCGAAATTGTTTTTTTTTTCATCTTTTTATGCATGATTGGATAAAGCATATTAAATTAGCTCAAAAAAGTGTCTCTACAATTTTCAAAAAATCTCGAATTTTAGATTTCAGCATAAAATATATTAATTTTTTATAAAAACATAAATATAATAACTTTTTCGTTTTATGTAATTGCTGATGAATACCTGTGAAATTTCCAAAATCTAATGTTTCTTAGACCTTCCCATTGCAGATCGTGATAAAGTTTGTGAAATGTTGCTCCTTCGATTCTGTCGTGAATAATGAAATCGGCTTCCATCATGTGAAATACTATGATGTTGAATTCAATTTCGAAAACTTCTGAATAGGTTGTCACCAAAAGTGATAATACCAGACACAACTGTGTCGAGCAGAAGCACTTCACAAAATAAATACCAAAAAAAAACAACAGTTCTCAGTGTCTTGCAAAGTGAAATTCTTTTATGTTTTCGATTCATTGCAACAGTTTCTATCTATAACAGTATACTCGTCTTCAAAAAATTGAAAATTCAACAGAAACTAAGTTGAAATTCGAAGACTTTCGAGAATTTTAGCGTACTCCTTCTTTTTTGGCCATTTCTGGTTCTGAAAGAGGATACAAGTGATCTATATGAAACTTTTACGACGGATAAAACATCTAAAATAATAGCCGCGTTTTCGAGAGAAAATTTTAAACAAGGTTTTTGCAGTCTTTTAGGAAAACTGATTTTACATAGGGCCACATCGAGTCCACTTACTATCGCCATTTAACTTTGTCTGATCGAGTTGAAAACTTTTTTTGGAGATGTTTTAGACTATATCTCAGAGATGGTTTTCAGTTTTTTTCAAAAATCTGGCTTTCTTTTTTTTTCTGTGAGAGAAATACGTAAGGGTTCGGATCCAAAACCAGAGTATTGGCGGTCAGGGATCTATAAATTCCTATAGGAAGGTCAAAATGAAAACGGTCAATTTCATCTCAGGAGAATACTCCCAAGTGTCTACGGAAAAAACGCTCATGCGAATTCGTTGTACTCTCTTCGAGAATCAGAAATAGTCAAAAAAGATGGGGACGGAGATGGTGCTCTTAAGACATTCTGCGATGAGATAGCTTGAAACACTGTCACACACATCTTTACTGACGGGAGTTATAAAGACTGACACATACAATCCTGTTGTGGATACTTCAAAAACTGAATACCACTTGAAGCCCATAGATTTCCAATTTCCGAAAGGTGAGTTTATCTTTCATAAAAGCTTTTACGACAAAACATACAGTAGGAAAGTTGAAAAAAAAGAATGTCAACAGATCAATACGCAGTCAACATTACTCACATATAGAATCACAGAAGATAAAGAAAAGTAAAAAATTGATAAAAACATGTTTTTTCTCTTGAATATTGTTCAACTTCATACATTTGATATACCTTTCCGCATGATTTTCTTCAACCATTAGTCAGTGTTATACTACAGACATCTTTTACTATCTCTGTGTTACGAAATAATATTTTATATGACAAATAAGGAATTGTTGCAATAGTATTACATTTTCCGTAAGTTTTTTTTTTTCGTATAAAACGATAACACATTTAGAATTACAAAGATTTTATCCAATTTTATTTTTGTCTTTCGCAATACTTTTACTATTTAAATTCATTCCAATTAGTGAATTATTACTTCGCATTAAAATCATATTAATATGCAATACAGTGCAGCTTATTTACTTGCTGTTCTTGATGATAATTCATCACCAGATGTTGCTGCAGCTGCCAAACTTTTGAGTATTGTTAGAATTGAATGTAATGAAGAATGTGCTCGAAAATTAGTTGATGCTTGTCAAGGTAAAGATAATAAACGAAGTAATTGCTGAAGGCTTGAAAAAAATTGATGCTACTGCATTGACAAATGTATCTATGGTAACTACCAATGACCAAGCACTTGTTCATACAGATATCAGTCCGCCGCCATCCTCTGGCAGTGACGGCTTTGTGAGTTATCTTTTTTATATCATAGTTTTTATGTTGATTAATATATTTTTAATAGATTGCCTTGTTCCTTTAATGAAGAATATCAAACATTTGACTGTAATCAAGTTGAACAGAAACTTCAAATCGAACTTCTATTATCTTTTTTCTTTTACTGTTGTAAAAATAAAAAGATTAAAATTTGGATTAATTCATTCGAATATGAAGTATTGTGTTAAATAAAAGCAAATCAAATTTTCCGATATGTGTGTGAGCTTGTAGCTGAAGAGAAGACACATTCACATCCTAATTGCCGATTATCATAATAGAATAAATTTTTGTATTTATCAAAATCATCCAAATATATGAGATTTGATCAATTTTATGGAAACAGAAGAAAAATGTATACATACTCTGATGGTCTTCTGTTGCATCGATGCAGAAAAACAAACGAACAAAAGTATTATAAAGTCAAACCAGCACGTTGTATAATGGATATAATAATTATACAACATTTGATTTTCTTAATGGATTTATCTTTTATTATAGCAAAAGGAAAAAGTTATGATTGTAAAATAAGAATATTATTTAAGGTCGATAATGTATTAACTTTTTATCAAAAATGTTAACCAATACTATAGAATAATACAAGAATGAACAAAATAGATATTTTGCGGTTGGTGTTTTTTTAAATAAACACTTCTTTGAACACAAGAAAAAAAGAATTTTATCCTACAGTTTAGTTTTATTTTAGTATATGCTAATAGATGTTTATATTTGTTCCATTATTATATCGTCCTAATTCATGTTTTTTAAAATGTTTACAAATAGTATTCAATAATATTCCTAGAATTCTTTAATATTAATCGAGGCTACAATGTTTCAAATAAAAAGAAAAATTTCCAAGATATATTGTGATATAGAAATCATTTCTCTATATTATAGAAGAAATTTTTCTATTCAATTAATAAACAAAAAAGAAGTCATTTTTTTTTAATTTTATATTATCGAATTCGTATGTGTTTTTTTAATAATAAAATCTTCAACTAATATTGGTTGTTTAATAGTATTATCTTGTAGTGAATCCGTTGGTTGTGTTACTTCTTCTTGTTTCACCATTTCTGAATTACTAATACTATCTAATTCAGCTGTATGACGAAGTAAAACTCTATTTTTATATAAGACGTATGTAGTAAAAACACAAATAATCATAATTATAGTAATTATAATAAAAATGTTATAGAAACGATATCGAATTTTATTTAATAATATCCAACTACCATATTTTATTTTGTCATAATGATATTCTATATGAATAAAATTAGTTGTTGTTGGATAATAAAAACAAATTGTTTCATTATTTAATAATGAAAATCTACATGTAAGTTCAGATGAAAATGAAAGATAATATGTATAATTTTGATTAATACTTGGTGCTGAAATAAATGAACTATTATTATCAAGTTTAATTAAAAGTTTTGGTGTAGATATTATTCGAGGATTTAATTCTATTTTTATTTGATCATATTTATCAAAAGCTATTTAACAAAAATAAAAAAAATATTTTACAATTAAAAAAAATATTTATTTTAAATTTTACATACATATATTCATATAGATTAATTGAATTTTATCTTGTTCAGTCGATACATATGGACAAATTATAATTCGAGTTGGATCAAATGATGAGTAAATATCAATAGATAAACCACAAGCTATAACTGTTTGAGTATTAATTATAGCCAGAGAAATATTTAGAAGATTACATTGAACAATAGATATGAAAGATAACGAAAATAAGAATAAAACATTATAGGACAGAGTTTTTATTCTCATTTTATTTGAATGTATTACAGACAAAACGTATGCATTGATCTACGGTCAAATAGAACAAAAAAAACTGAGCATTTTATGTGTCGATGAAAGGTATTTATAAGAACAGAAAGAAAAAGTAAAGTATGTATTGTTCAAAAAAAAATATTCTTTTTACTAAAATCGAAGAATGTTTAATCAAATGAAATTCTATTAAGAAAAAAAATCGATTATACATTTAGTTTAATCATTATTGCAAAGGATGGAATTTGATTGCAAGTTTACCTATTACAATAATAATAGTTGAAAAAAGATCAATCAACCAAAAACAAACGGTTGTTATGACATTATCTGACTTTTGTTTGATAATAATATGCTAAATCTTTCATTTTTATTCAATATCTAGTGTCATCTGTTGACAATAAAATAAAAAAACAAGTTCTTACTTAAATCTTTTCTTATGAAATATATAATTCACTTATATTTATATATTCATATCAATATTATCTTTTTATTCTTTTATAAGTATATGTTACTAAGCAACAAAGCTGCAAATGACTATTAAAGATAGATAGTCATCTATAAAGAATTTTAAATTGTTGATCTTTTGTACTATCATCAATGGCAAGCACTAATTTAATTGATAATACTCAACGTGAAATAGGTAATATTGAAACTAACAATGATATTAATCAATGGGGTCAAGCTATTTTACGTTCGAAAACATCATTGATTAAACCTTATTCAAAAGTAATAAAAATAAAAACAAGATTCTATTTAATGAATTTTTATTTTAATAGTATACTGAAGAAGGTCTTCGTCCACGTTCACCTAATGCACCATATACAATTTTGACAAAAGAACAAGAATCAAGTATTGATCGTACGGCTAGTCCATTATTTTTTAATAAATCTCGTATATCAACATCAACTGGAGTATTTCGTCGTTTTCGTCAACGTCAAACAGATTCATTACCAATGAGTCATTTACGTGCAGGTGGTGCTGTTGGTGCTGGTACAGAATATACTTATATTACTCCACAAGCATATACATCAAAATTACCTGAAAAATATAATGGTTCTACAGCCGATGGATATCCAAAATGGTATCCAAATCGTGCAGGTGAAAGAACTTTAGCACATTTACGAGAAGATATACCGGTCGAAAGATATGTTTCAATTGATATGTTTCGTCGTCCACCAACAGGACGTTCTGGTCAAATTATTTTTGATCATGGACGACCTAATGATGGTTATTATTTACAAAGAAATGGATGTAAGTTAAGAATATATTAAGGAGATAAAAAAAAAACAAGATTTTTTTTCTTATAATTTAAAGATGATACAACATGGTTTGGTTCAAATATAGAATTAAATCGTCGTCATATATTAGATTCAATTCAACCAAAAACACGAACTGAATATGAACAAGAAAAAATTAATCAACAAAATCATTATCGAAAAGAAAATAATAAATGGCCTTATTTATCAGAATATGGAGAACAATTTGTACTTGGCACAACAGTTGAACGAAAACAAAAAACAGAGTAAGTAGAAAGAAAAAAAGTTCAACCGATCACACCAGGATTCGAACCTGGAATCCCCCGCTCCGTAGGCGGGTGCCTTAACCGTTGGGCCATGCGACCGTTGTGAATAGATGTTCAATTCTTTATGTTTATCAAAAAAAAAAAGGATTTTCCATAGATAAAAAAAAAGTAGATGGAAAACATAATTTTTTTTCTCAATAGTTAATAATTACTTTTTCGTGTAAAAAAGAAAAAAAAAGTGTTCTAAGAAAAAACCAGCAAATGAATGAAGAGATTAATCAAACAATTTTCATTTCAAAAAATTTATTGATATGAAATATTAAAAGGTCTTTTCTAACTTTACACAATGAACCAATCACATAAGGACTCGAATCTGGAATTGCGGTTTCGTAGATGAGTGCCTTGATCATTGAACTACCTATTAAAAAAAAAATTAAATTAATTTCGTGGTTATTTTTTTTTTCATCACTGAAAACTTCGATATAAAAAATTTCTATAGGATAAAAATTAGTCGAAGAATTTAAAGCCACAACTTTTTACGGCTTTACATCATGTTGTAAAATATTCTCATAAAACACGATCACTGAATACTATTCAACATTACGATTAGTCAAACTACAGTAGTATTAGGATTGATATAAACAATGATTTCAAGTCTCGTTTAAAGGGGAATGAAACATAGGTTTCAATAGTGCCGATAGTTGAGCTACGTAAATCTGAGCTGACAATTCCATTCTTTGGGTATGGAGGAAATCTGCTGGAAACGGTAGTTTTTCACTTGGATCCTTTCTTTCCGAAGCACTTCTGGTCACTTGCATAATCAAAGCATTTTACTCCATTCAAGTCAGAAATACACCGGAATTTCGTCATATCCAACAGAGAAAATACCAGATATCATGCATATTCGGCTACACTAAGTGTAATTATTCGCCAAAAAAATCACTTTAAATGATCAAAAACAAAAAAGACGACTTGAAGGTATGCTTAATTCCAAAGTCAGCCATTCTTCATGATTAAACAGGAATCAATTTCGAGAGTTAGATCATGCATCATGACCGTTCATCGGTAAAGGAAGAACCATTAACAAACCGTGAATCTTGTCATTGAGTGCTTGCTTATTCAAGATCTGTGATTATATATTTTTTTTATTGTTGAAGCTGTGCATGAAGCATCTTTGAAGATCGTTTTCGAAGGCGATTAAAAAATCAATTGAAATTTGATCCTAAACAATTACTAGTCTTGCAGAAAAACTAAATTGTATCATGACACGATGAAGACTTTTAGAGTAATATCTATCAACTTTGATAAGAGCTAACGGCAAGTTTAAGACTTTTGCAAAGTATGCTTTATCTGCACATACATATTTCTATCTCAAAAAGAAATTTTTTCGTGGAAAAGAAATTAGATTAAAAAATTCATTAAGAATATAAAAATAAATTCTAAACAAAACAAAAAAACAAAGCGAATATCAGAAAATGAATTAGAATGATGACAACATCTTTTTTAGCTTCTTACATGGAAAAAGAATAAACCGATCACACCAGGATTCGAACCTGGAATCCCCCGCTCCGTAGGCGGGTGCCTTAACCATTGGGCCATGCGACCGTTGTTCATCAATGAACATATATTAACTGTCAATTAAAATTTCTTTTGAAAAAGACAAAAAACACTTGTAAATATTCGTTTATTTATAATTAAATTAATCATTGATTTTTATGTTATTAGCTAAATTATGAGTTATTCCAGAAGGAAAATAATTGAGAAAATTTCTTATATGATTTTTCCAAAGGATATTCTAAAATAACTTTTTTTTTTCTTAATATAGAATTGAAAATATAAAGTTATTCAAAAAGATTTTTAAATTAATTTTAACATAAGATAAAATTGTTTGAAGAAATTTTGTGAGCAGAAAAATGCTCTCCATTGTTTGGAAAAACACGTTTTAAATCATAATGAAATAATCAACAAAAAAAAATTCTTTTTTTCTTCCTTAAAAAATATCTTATAATTGAAAAAATAAAATAAATCGAATAGAAATTTTGTTTTTTGTCCAAAAATTTATCATACTAGAAAACATATTGTCTAGATATCTAAAACAACTTGTTAAACAAGAAGAAAAGAAAGAGAACAGAAAGGAAAAAAAAATAGACCGATCACACCAGGATTCGAACCTGGAATCCCCCGCTCCGTAGGCGGGTGCCTTAACCATTGGGCCATGCGACCGCTATGCATTGTGATAAAAAAATTCATATCAATCATTTTTAGTATAATCAAAATTATTTACTATTTTCATATAATTTTAGTTTGGAACGTGCTAAACAACATATTGGACAAAATCCAACACGTTTTACATCATTACATAATCAATTAGCAGCATCTGCTGTTGCACAAGGACGAACATTAATCAATGATCCATCACTTGTTGTTAAATGCTAAATTAGATTTATTCATAATTTTATAATGAGAACAATTTTATATGCCTTTTTAATTCGTTTGGAATTTTTTTTATTTTATTAAAAAAGAATTTTTTTTTAAATAATATTTTTTAAGACTAACTTTTTTTCTTATATAAAATTATATATTATTTATAAAAAAAAAATAATAATTATTCGTATTTTTTCTAAATCATAAATCAATGTTTGTATATTTAAATGTTTACTTTATTACCATATAATTTCATTTCAATATAAAATCTTCATCATCTTTCTTCGAAAAAATATTTCTTTTATATATTGAGAATTTTACTATAAGAATAAACAAATATTCTTTTCTATAAACAAAATAAAGGTTTACTAGCAAAAAAAACTGCAAATGATGTATTTCTTCAGATCTTTATCAAAATTTTTCATTACGTTATGTGCATAAAAAATAAACTAACTAGAGAGTTTCTTCAATTGTTCCTTCGGATTTCAAAGATTCTTTTTGTCTATAGATATTTCATAGTATTCTAATAAAAGCTCTAAAAGGATTGGGGTTCCTATTGAGATTTTCTTACAAATAATAGACATCAATATCTCAATGGGGGAAATGGATTCATTAATGTTTTTATATTTGTCTGTCATTATAATTTCAATTATATTTATTCTTTCAAATCATAAAACAATTCTTTATAGCTTTGCTCGTTGATCAGATTCAATCGTATTTTATAAATTAATCTTACATTATGAGTTCGAATTGGTATGAATGTTATTATAAAAATGTAGATTATAGTATCAATACAATCGACTAAAAGTAAAAAGGGTCATCATGTTAGTCAATATACTACTTAAATTTACACAATTTCGTAATTTACAATAAATAATTGATGATATTGATTATTAATTTTTTACATAGATATATATAGCGAGTATCTGACATTATGTATTAAAAACAATTTGATTAAGTAAGAAATTGTGGTACATTTTTGTACCACAATTTAAAAGCACAAATAAAAATTGAAGCATAGATAAAAACAGTGTCTGTAATACAAAAAAATGACGTCGAAAGTGATGTCTATGGAACTGTCGAACATAGACGAAATAACGAAGGAGAAAGGAATTCAAACAATATATATAGAAATTAAACTTTGAGAAATAATATAAACTAGCCAACATATCGATTCTTTCTCCGTATAAAGAAGATAGAAATCTAGATGATGAAATTTATTTTGAAACGTCGATGCGAAGTTTCATTTGTTCTCAATTCGCTCCATAAAATGATGATTTTGAAGTGAAAAACTGTGTTTTTAAAAAGAACAAGACTGGTGGCTACGATATAATGAAAACGAGTTTCAACAGCAGTGTTCATTAGATTGAATGTTGTTGCCATCTTTCGAAGATCTTCTTGACATCTGCATTCTATTTCTTTGAGTAATGGAAAATCAGAACGAATTGAAGATTAAAAAAGAATCAATGAAAATGATTATTCCTATGCACCAGAGTACTAATTTCCAATTAGTACAAAATCTGCTTGGTTTTCTAATAACTGATTTCTTTTATAAATAATTAAACTTCTCGTTCTACTTTGTACAATGTAGAAATTTTTTTTACTACTTCAAAAAAAATAAAATTCTCACTTAAAAATCGTTATTTTGCGGAACGAATGGAACTTCGCATCGACATTTCGAAACAAAATCGATCATATGAGAATATGGAACTCTTGTAACAACGTTCGAACAGAAATCGTACTATTCTTCTATCTTTAGACCATGGTGCGACACAAAATAACAATTTCGAGTTATGTGTTGAGAAAGAAAAAAACTCACACGATTGATTTCTGTACTGTACTTTGTATTATAATAAATAAATTTTATAGGGCATCCATTTGCACAAAGAAATGTAACTGTCTCATAGTGCAATTGTTTTTTCTATTACAGAAAATATAATGTGACAAAAAGAAATGGAAGCTTGAGAAACCTTTAAAATTATATTTTTTTGTCCTCTGAAGACATCATTTATTTGAGACTAACATTCTATAAAATCAAATATGTCAGTTGAATATGGAAAAAAAATTCGAGTAAGAAAATGAGACTCATCATTTTTTTTACTTCTTCCTGTTTCTTAGGTATCCATTCTTCATAAACATACGTCTATTCATCCTGCGAAAAGTTTCGATTACTCAAAAAAACCAAATGTTAATAAAATTTCCAGACATCATTCATTACCAGAAGTATTTTCTAAGAATTCTTTTTTCAAAATTTTGCATTTATGTATTCTTTTTAATAAAGCAATCATTGGTTCCAATACATTACATAAGGGTAGCAATTTTTTTGATCACCAAAAAAAAGTTACGTTTGATCACGAAACACTTAGGGATACAAATGATCACCAAAAAAATATATTTTTGATTACTAAATTTTTTAGAATGTATCTCATATTTTTATTTCTTAATAAAGCAAATAATATTCTTATTTTTATTAATATATATATACAGATTTAAAGTTGTGCTAACTTTCTTGGGACGTCTTCTTGTTTTTCGTTTACCTAATGGTTGAATACGTGTTTTGTCGCTGACTTGATACATGTAAAATATAATTGCTAAACCAACAGAATATATACACAAATACTCTTTAATGATAATAGAATAGCTACATAATTGTAATGGTACAACTAACAAACACGATCGTTGTCATACTCTATAAAATTTAATGATCAAAAATATCTTTTTTTGGTGATCAAAAATATAATTACTCATTACATAACACATGAAATTAATGAAAAACATCATACTCAACATACGATCCATATTTTTCTATTGACTAATCGACTGGTTGAAGTCAATCAAGTAAAATTAATCCCATAGAACATAATTATATATACCATTATTTTAAAAGAATAAACTCTGGATAGGATGCTTGTTTTCGATAGTGTGGTTCAGATAATTATTATCTTTTGTAAGAAGTGAATTTGATGTTTTATTTTTTCTGTACAGAGTAATTCAACTAGTGGAACACATATAAAAAGACTCCAGAAATCTGTAAAAAAGAATACCTCAAATATCAAAGAAATATCTCATCAACAATCACAAGTAAAGATTCTATTAAAAAAATCTTCTCTTTAATCATTATCGATTGATAGCAATGGAAGCGAAGTCATAGTGTGAAACCATCAACAATACAACCTACTATAGAAGCTTCTTCAATTAATAAAATTGATAGTTTAAATAACAATAGTAATCAGACACCATCTGAATTGTTAAGTGATCAGGTAAATACTTTCAATTATTTTTTGCTTCTCGCACAAATTATTTATTTCTATTTTAAAAACAAAGATGATAAATAATAATATCGATAATAAGAATAAAGTAAATCGTTGAAAAAAAACTATATTATTTCATCAATGAATTATAATATAGATAATAAATAATCAAACGCCAATCAAATCAAGTACTTTTGAGAATGTGGATAGAACCGTAAAAAATAATACAAAAAAAGAAGTTCTACGGCATCACAGGTAAATAACAATTCTTCTCTACAAGCGTAAACATACGAACGAAAAATTTTAAAGTGATACGTGACATGTTCGCATTCACTCAAATGAACATATCCACATATAACATTTGCATACAATATTTCAGCAATTATTAATTTAAATTTTTGAGTTAGTTCTCCTGCTTGGGTCTAAAGTGAAAATATCGGAAATAAAAAGGCTAAAAACTTCAGGTAGAAACTACTGAATATTTTCATGTTGAGAAAATTGAAAACTCAAGTAGATAAATTGGAATCGGATGTTTACTGTTTAAAAGAAAGAGTGAAAGACAAGCAAACAAAACGCTTCTATATTTTAGTTTATCATAGTTAGGAAATGCTTCTATTGAATGATTATAATGCTTGTGCCACAACTAAAAACAAACTATTGAGAAGATAAGATGCTGTAACGAGGTAATCATTTTATCAACTATACAAAATGTTTATTTGATTTTGTAATGTTGTTGACCGGGATGTAGGTGTGAGTGTTGCTCTACTCTTCACGTACACCTACAGCCTTATTTTCGACTGAAGTTTATATTAACATTTGAGCAATATTACTATTACAGGAATTCAACACATCTTCCATTGGATATTGTTTCATATACTATTTTTCTAGGAGATTATAAATCTTTCAATGTAATATAAGATTTTCCTTCTTAATCAAAATAATTCAAAGCTTTAGAAGCATTACATTTAAATATTCTCTATTCATTCGTTTTATTTTTATATATAGATATAAAAAGTATATTTGTTGTCGTTGTTCATTAATTCGTATTGCCATATGTGTATTCACAATCTTTATATTACTATCAGGATTTGCTGCATTGATTGTTGCTCTTTATAACATCAAACCAAATACAACAACAACAAGTTAGTTGAAAAGACATTACATAAATGAGAAGTTCAAATCGAAATATTTTTATTTCATAGATGAATCCATTATTAGTACTACTACTTCAACTACTTTAACCATGTCGAGCAGTCTTACAACAACTACAAGCACAAGTAATTTTATTTTCAATTCGAGTTTTAAAATAGATTTAGTTTGGAAAAATATTAATGCTTTTTTTATTAGATACAACAACAACAACAATTGCAACAATATGTGGTTCTTCATGTCTCAATCAATCATGGATTGATTCTTCAGGTGTTATTGCTTTTTGGAAATTCGAAAATTCATTTGCAGATTCCACAAATATTTACAATGGGACTCCATCTTCACAAGCTCCTACATTTGTTTCAGGATATGTTGGACAAGCAGCTTCATTCAATGCAACTGCAAAACAATCTATTTACACATCATTTATTCCATTGAGTAATGTTAGTTTTACTTTGGATGCATGGATTGAACAAAATGGAGAACCAAATCCAACAGATTACAGTATTGTTGGTTTATGTCTATCGACAACAACAGATAATTGTCTTCATATTAGTATACGTAGTAAAAAATATTATTTTGGATTCTATGGTGATGATCTTCAAAGTTCAGCAACAATGCCATTGAATTACTGGGTACATGTAGCATTTGTTTTTGATGTTACTACTCGTAAGCAGATGATTTATGTTAATGGATTTCTTGATCAACAAAGAACTGCATCTGGTACCTTAAAACTTACTTCAAGAAATTTTACCATTGGTACTAATCTGCTTGTAAGACTTCCAAATAATACCTTTCAGGTAAGACATGAAAATCATTATTGATTCATTTCCTTTAAATGTCTACTCTTTTTCTTTTTCTTTTTTATAAGGGTTACATTGATCAATTATCAATAAATGCACGTTCAAAATCTTCCTGTGAAATACTTGAAATAGCAACACTAGCTGCTCATTTCAAATTTGATGTTACTTCACCATTGAGTGATTCTGGACCTAATTCAATGATAAGCACGGCTTCGAATTATTTAATTATATCTGGTTATAAAAATCAAGCTATATCATTTTCTGGTGCATCTACTTCTTATTATCAAGTATCAAGTTTTACTTCGTTTGGTATAACAAATCAATCATTTTCAATAACATTTTGGATTCAACCTCAAATTCTATCAGGTACAATTGTTCATTTATCAACATCATCTTTAGGTACAGGATCTCAATGTTTTCCATTATTGGGTTTTACTTCAAATCGAACAATTATTGCACAAATTTTAACCAAAAATAATACTGTTGTATCAATAACAGGTCCTATTTTATCAGTATCATCATCATGGATAGCAGTTGGTTTAACATGGAGTCAGACAAATGGATTGAAATTATATATTAATAAGACACTTATTAATTCTATGATAGCTTCGACATTTCTAGCAAGTAAAACAACATCAAATTATTTAACATTAGGTAATTGTTTGAATGGTTGTAGTGGATGTTTTAATGGATCAATTGATGCAGTTGGTCCATTTACAGGTGCAATTGATGATTGGCGAATTTACAGTCGAGAACTTAGTTCAAATGATATTTGTACTTTATATTCCTATTAATGAATTTTATTTTATTACAAATATGACACTTAAATAGAACTCAAAATAAGTATATCTTTCTTCAAACTATATTTTTCTTGACCGTATTAAATAAAATTTATACAGCTGGTTTGTCCATCCATAGTACGAAAAGAAATGTTTACATAAGTTGTTCATAATAATAAAGACAGTCCTCACAAGAATAGATTTGATTTTCATGATTTGTTGTAAACTTTACTCTATATTAGCATATATCTGTTGCCGATGCAGATTCAAAAAGAACATAATTGTACATATTATTGATTTATTTTGCTTGATTCATCAAATTTAACCTTACAATTAAATTCAATTTGTCTAACATAATACTGATAATTATTCAAAATGCATAAAAATAGAGGAAGTATCTCAAAAATTCATTGTTAACAATTATAATCACATGTAAGATGTAAAAGTTTTCAATAGACAATATTTTTCTTTCATTATGATTTATTCAAAAATGAATATACGTAGTTGTATGATAGAGTTAATAACAAATGTTGCCACAGTATCAATAAGTAAAAAATGAATTCATAAACAATAACAAAATAAAATAAAAGCAAATATTGAAATTTCAAAGCTGGTGCCCAATAATTTTGATTATATTATTGATGTCAACAATAAATATAGCTCTCAGATGTCATTCAGTCATCAAGTATATACGATTCTTTTCCCTTTCTTCTTTTCATACATCTTATAAATATATTTAAAATTTGTTCTAAGTTAACAATATGGACAATGAATTCATAGTAAGACATAGATATATACAGGATGTTCCAAGAGTTCGTCGGAAAAGCTAACGTAAATATCTCTTCTACAATTCAAGTGGTTTAATTAATTTTTTTTTATAATATAAAGTATTTTCAGTTTTATAAATTACCAAATTTGAGTTATCTGTGGTTGTGAAACGAAATATCTAGTCGAATTCGACAAAAGAAAAAACATCAAATAAAGATTGTATTAGGGTTACATTTCAATGCTTTTGTGAAACGAACACAGTGAAAGATCGTCAAAAATTACAGAAGAAAAATTCGATGATGTTTGTGAAAAAAGAACTACAATCAAGTGTTCAAGCTGTTACAAATACTGGCCCCATTCCACGAACGACAGCACACCGATTTATGACTGAATATCTTTCATTGAAATTGTATATAAGGTGCAATATGTTTGTGAAATGGAACAGGTGTTTACAACAGCTCGAACACTTGATTGTGGTTCTTTTTTCACAAACATCGTTGAATTTTTCTTCTATAATTTTTAACGATCTCCCAGAATGTTCTAGACCTTTCATTGTGTAAGTTTTACAAGAACATTGAAATGTAACTTTAATCCAATCTTTATTTGGCGTATTTTTGCCAAAATCGACTAGAAGTTTTCATTTCACAACCACAGGTAATTCAAATTTGTCCATTTATAAAACTGAAAGTATACAGAAAATATTTACATATTATTTAAAAAATCAATAAAATCGCTTGAATTGTATAAGAGATATTTATGTTAACTTTTCCGACGCACTCTTGGAACATCTTGTATATTATAGTTTGTGTTTAATTAGTTGTTTTTTTTTATATAGAAAGGTATTGTATGGCCTATGAACATCGAATCGATATCTCCATTTAGATCTAATGAAAAAACATCAGACATGAAACAATACCGAAGGTAAAATATTAGCTTTACGTCCAGACAGAAGACCAGCTTGACATAAAGTTCTTGCGCTCCCCATATACACTAACTACCCCCACGAGCAGGTGTATGTCACAAAGTAGTCAGCATGTTATCAAAAGGGTGAGCCGAGATAAACAATCGTTAGTGACTTGTCCCGAGTCATTTCATTTGTGGTGATACCAAGATTTGAATACAGTGTCTTGTGAAGATACGTGTTTCTCGATCTGAATAGTTAAAAATGAAAATCTAGAATACTTGAGAAGTCTATTTAACTAAGAGTATCTATAATTTTTGCATCTTGTTTTTTCTTATATACAGATGTTGGGGTATTACATGTTATCCTTGTTCAAAACTCTGTATTGGACTTTTAATTTTACTTGCTCTTCTTATATTGGCTATAATTGCTACATTTCTTATTCTTTTTCTTGGTAAGAATAAAGAAGCAACAACAACACCAATAAGTACAGGTCAGTTTTAAAAAATTGCTTTTTATTTTATAAAACATTTTAAAATTATTTATTCTATATAGCAATCAATCTAACCACAAAAATAACTAGTACAACGACTACTACTGTATTAACCAAAACGATTCCTACTAAGTCAACTACAATAACAACAACTTCAACTATAGCAAGTCGGTTAATTAATATTTTCTCTTTTATGCATTTTATCTACTATCCATTTGAAAATATAATGTATTCTAGTGGTTTTTTTTAAATAAATTTTGATTGGAACATCACAGAGACCTGCGGTTTCCACCATTCAAGAGAGAAGACCCAAAAATCATCGAAATTTGATTCATCAGCAATTCTGATTTAGATCTTAAATAGGATTACTCGATAGAAAAATTCTTCTTTTTCGATCTACGCAAAACCGACATTTCTAGCTTGTTTCATTTGAGAGTTATAACACTGTTTCTGAGACTCCCAATTTCAGTCAGTTGATCTGTGATCATTCGAAAAAGCAGCTGGACAGGAGTAATTTACCATGCGGAGTCGAATGATGCTATTTGTTTTTAGATTCAAAATGATCTGACACTGTTATCTCAATATTACAATCGGCCTTCATGTAACAAAGGAGTCAATATTGAGAAAAACAGCATCAGATCAGGTCGAATCCAAACAAAATGTTACTATTCGGCTCAGTATGGTGAATTACCCTTATCTAACTGTTTTCCCAGGTGATCACATGTCACTTGACTGAAATCGGAAGTCTGAGGAAAAATCTTATAACTCTTAAATAAAACAAGCTAGAAATGTCGACCTAGCGTAAATCGAAAAAGAAGAATTTTTCTATTGATTAATCCTATTAAAAGTCTAAATCTAAAGGAAGATAGCTTCAAAATATCGTTTTTTGAAAATTTTCACCAAGAATTCACCTGATTGATCCATTGCTGACCAATCAAACTTCGATAACCTCAGATCTTCTCTCTTGAATGATGATAACTACAGGACTCTTTGATGCTCCTATCAAAAGTTATTCAAAAAACAATAGAACACGTAATATTTCGAAACAAATAGTAAAATTCTACATCTCGTGTAATGAGAAGTGCCTTGCAATTAACAGTTTATCTAATATTTCCTAATTCTTCTGAGCAATAGTATTTAGAGTCATTATTCAGTGACTCACATCATTGATCAACAGCCTCTAAAAATTTTTTTGTCTTATACACATGCAAAGAAAAAATCTTTCTTGTCTTATAATCTTATCAAATTTAATATTTTTTATTCTGACGATCTAATAGTTATAATGGACAAGTAATTCTTTTGGTAATTTATTTAAAAACAAGGCATAGTTTGATGTTTATTTACTAGATTGTAATGTCCTGATGGATATTTTTTTTTCGACTGTTCATTAGGTACAACTACAACCATGATCACATGTGGTACATCCTGTCTCAATCAATCATGGATTGATTCATCAGGTGGTCTTGCTTTCTGGCCATTCGACGGTTCATATATTGACATAGTTAGTGGTTATAATGGAATTCCATCTCCAAATCCTCCTACTTTTGTTACGGGATATCTTGGTGAGGCTGCTTCATTTGATGCATCCACTGAACAATCTATGTACACATCATTTATTTCATTAAATAATGCTAGTTTCACTGTAGAAGCATGGATTAAACCAACTGGATATCCTAATCCGCGAGATCATAGTATTGTTGGTTTATGTCCATCGAAAATAACAAGTCGTTGTCTTCATATTAATATTCGTAATAGAAAACTTTATTTTGGATTTTATTATGATGATCTTCAAGGTGTAACAACAATCTTACTCAATGAATGGATACATGTAGTATTTACTTTTGATCTAACAACAAAAATACAAACTATCTATTTGAATGGATTTCCAAATGCACAACGTATTGCAGCAAATTCATTACAAGTCGATTCGGGCAATTTTACAATTGGTGTTAATGAAGGCGTAGACTTTCCATATAGTTATTTTCAGGTAAATCCAATATATTTTCTTTTTCAATAAAGACAAAAACATTCTATAGACGATAATCTTTATATGATTATTTCGAAAATGACTTAATAATTGCATAATAAAATTTAGGGTTATATTGATCAATTATCAATCAGTCGACGAACAAAATCTTCTTGTGAAATACTTGAAATAGCAACATTATCTGGTCACTTCAAATTTGATACTCCATCACCATTTATTGATTTAGGTCCTAATTCAGTAGCAACTACATCTTCAAGTACTTCAATTATCACGGGTCATAAAAATCAAGCTATATCATTTTCTGGTTCATCAGCATCTTATTTTCAAACATGGGGTTTTACTTCATTTGGTATTAGTAATAAAGAATTTTCACTTGCATTTTGGATTCAACCTCAAATTCTATCAGGTACAATTGTTCATTTATCAACATCATCTTTAGGTACAGGATCTCAATGTTTTTCATTATTGGGTTTTGATTCGAATGGAGCAATTATTGCACAAGTCTTGACTGACAATAACAATGTTGTCACAGCCACGGGTCCTATTTTACCTGTATCATCATTATGGATAGCAGTTGTTCAAACATGGAGTTCAACAAATGGATTGAGACTCTATGTAAATAATACACTTGTTAGTTCTGTCGAAGCTTCAACATTTCTAGGAAGTGAAACAACACCAAACTATTTAACATTGGGTAATTGTTTAAATGGTTGTGATGGTACATGTTCAAGTGGTTCAATTGGTACACCAGGTCCATTTACAGGTGCAATTGATGATTGGCGTATATACAATCGTGAACTTACTTCGGATGATGTGTGTGCTCTACATTTTGCTATTTGATTTTATCAATAATTTTGTTTTTTTTTTGTTTCGAGTTTTTTTTTCTCATATCTACTGTGAAGAGAAATGTTTGAATAATCGCATCTATGTAAAATTTATTGATGAAATTTTTCAGAATAGATTATTTTATTTTATAATATCAATTATAAGTCGAGTTGATCAACAATATCTGGCTATTTTTAAGGTAATTGAATGAAGTATAAATCATTTTTATATTAATTTTATTATATTTTGAAAAGTTTCAAATGTAATCAATTCACTTTATTGAATAGAAAAATGATATTTTCTATTTACGAAACCTCTTGAACATAGTATATTGAATACAATAAAGAAAAAATATTCCGTTTAGATCTTAGGACTGAATATATTGTTCGTCATTGTCAAGATAATTGGTATAATCAATCTTCACAAATTGTGGTTTTCTGTTCGAATATTAAGTTTTAAACAGTCATGTTATTGTTCAATGTTCTTCTATGACTTCTCGCATTAGTGTCAGTGCTTATTGTTCAAAAGAAACAAAAACTGAATAAAGGATATTTTGTTTAGGTTAGTCAGTGTGCAAAAGATGACTGATAGACAAGAGACATTTTCCATCTGCTGGTTTCAATTTATCGAAAATTATTCCAACTAGAAGAAAAGCTGAGGCCCTTTCATCGATCTCTTCTAATCATGTGTACAATACTATTCATTCTTTCTTTCCATCTGAAGATCTGTTAGATATGATATTTTCTCCTGTTCATGTCTTTCAGGAGTGTCAGTGTCAGCGAATGTTTATTTGGGTGCACCTTCTCTTTATAGAATGTCTATCATTTTCCACAAATCTGGTTCCCAGAATCCATCCCTAAATGAAATCCACATGTGTGGAAAACTAATCAATTAACGCTCATACTGGTGACCAAATAGGGATTTTAATTTAGGGATTTTTCAATTTAGGGACTTTTTTTAATATAATACATACAACACATATTGTCATCAATTGCCATCCTGCTTCTACCATACTAGAAATGGTAGGTTACCATTTGCCCTAAATTCTGGTTTCCAGGTTCGTCCCTATATCGGACCCCATTTACGAACAATTAAGCAATTATGGTCAATTCTGGTGACCAAATAGGTACTTTTATTTAGAGACTATTCAATTTAGGGACTTTTTTCTTAGATACACACTATACCATATAGAACACAATTCAACATCATCCTGTACCGTGTTGAAATGCTTTATCAATGAAACCAAATATTGCGGCGAAAACTCTAGTATGGCCAAGTACTTTCTGGTCATCAGAATCGTTTTGTATTCATTGTCTATAGTTATTGGCATACGCATTTCAACTTCAATTTTCTTACTTATGATAGTGTGGGTTATGTGAAACATATGATTTTTGTATTTTACACTAAAATGTTTTTTTTTCATACTATTAATCTCTTTTCTTTTCTTTATGCTACACTTTAGTAGCAGTATGATCAATCGTTTTTTTTAATAATATTTAACAAATTTAAAAACAACACGCTTGTAAACAAAAATTAAGACAAACTTTTCAAGCAAACCAAATATTTTCGTCACAATCTCATAATAATAAATTTGCGTCTAGTCGCTAGAATACAATTAAAATACAGTCGTAGATTCTGTTTGCAAAATTTACTGTGCTGTCAGTGTGAAGTTTTTCCTCATTTTTGACACACTGTTTTATCTCAATTAGACTTGAGCACTACTTTACTTGAAAAGAGAATGTCAGATTAAATTTCTAAACGAATTATATAGACGGATTCATGAGATGAGACGACAAAAAAAGATAAAAAGTTAAACGTCTGTATGGTGTTTTGAATTTAGTCATCGGATTTGACATTCGAACGCACTACATTAGAATAAGAGCTACGCTTTATGAATCTGGTCAGCACATTTGATATCACAATGCTTTACATTAGAATAATAACTATATCCTATTTTGAATCTAGGTATTATTCTTGAATCTGGTCACCA